ATTAAATAAGTCAAAATTTATATATATATATATATATATATATATATATATATATATATATTATAACATAGAATTGCTCGATTAAAATTATCAAATAAATCGTAAAAAATATATGACAAATAGACATGCTACTATTATGTTTGATAACATTAATTCAAATTTTTAAAAAATAGTTAAAAGTTGAAAAAAAGTTAAACTAAGAGTTGTTATATTTCCAGTTGAACATACTTTATTATTTTAATAATTTTTGTGTTTAAATAATGAAGTATTAAATATAATATTTTAAGCGTGTTTTATCATTAATAGATAAGTTGAGTGGTTAAATACATGTAAATATTGTTTGTTGAACACTTATGTGAATGTTTTGTTTGATAAGCTTTTTACATCAACAGAGATAGTTTAATAAACTTTTTGTTGAATGTATAATAAGTATACTTTATTCATTATGTCAAAAGATCTTGACATTTTCTCAATATAGAATCTTTTAAAGAATGTGTTAAAAGTTATTTTGCAAAACCATTTTGGAAGGATGGAATGTTAGGATTGTAAAGTCAATAGTTGTTTCGTGCTTTACTTAAAAGGTGAAAAAAAAAAATCTGCACAACCGAAACATATTAGTCTTTTTTGTTTAACATTAAATATCAAAACAAATTATCTTTTTTCTAATTTTGGAACTATTAAACATATTATTGTTGATCATAACTAGTGATATGTTACTTGCATTTACAATAAATAAGCGTATCTAAACTCCAAAATATTTTCTTTTATAAGAAGTGCAACAATATTTCATGAAAAATATGATGTAGTACTTTTCATTTTTAATTTCAATATCTTTAGTTTTACTTGTCTTTATTTTTAACATTTTATCTTTATATAGTTAATATATGTATATAAGTATGTTTAAAGTGTAAGAGGGATTTTTTTTTGTTATTAGTCAAATAAATTTAACTAAAATGTCACCATACTTTTCAAGAAATGCTTTTAGTAATAAAAGTAATATAAAATGATAATTGTTAATAATATATATAATATAAGAAGAAGAAAAATATTAATTTTTAAAATGAAAAAAAATATTTAAGTAAAAATGAAATAAATATTTTTAAATATAATATTTTAGAATCGAATATGTAATGTTGTATTCAGTTACAGCAAATCTCGTAATCGAATACGAAGTTTCGTGACTTTGCGCACGAGCTAGAACCTAATTCACTTTCCTTGAAACAGAATACACCCCTCCCTAGAATCGAATTCACCTCTGTATTAGAATACGCAACCTTCTTCAGTGGGTAAAGTAAATATTTCACTCAAATATTATGTCTTCCCCAAAATGGAGAATACCCTTCATTCGCAAATCATGATCATCTATCACTCGTAATTGGTTAGCGAATACTTTCATTCGCAATCTGTCTCTTCTAGTTTATGTGAACATTGACGTCCATTCATCTGAACATAACATAAGTGTTAAACAAATTTTGTATTATTTCTTGAATTTTATAAATATTTAATGTTAAATTATTGTTTTTTTAGAATATGATTTCTAATCATTATTTTGTTTAACGTTAAAGATAAAAATTATCTAAGTTTTATATTTGAGCAAACATTTAGAGTAAAAAAAAAGGTTGTATTGGTGTCAATCTCATTATTCAAAAGTTGAATTGTTGTACCAAGTTAAAAATAAGTACTTCATTATTTTATATAAAAGTTTTATATATTTTTCTCATTCACATTCACTATAATATATAATATTAATATTAATGATATTTGTCTAAAAGATGTATAGAAAGTTTTATAGAATAAATTATATGTTTGAATTACAAAGATGTTCTTTTACATTACAAAATTATTTGTTTTTGAGAGTGTTCAAAGTTTATATAGTCTAATTTAATGTAATTTCTTTTACATGATATGTTAATTAAGTTTTCTAATGAACGTAATAATTTTAAATTTTAAATTGTTGATCTAAGAACTAACTTTTTTTTAAGCAATCATTTTGTCGTCAATTTAAAAAAAAACATGTTTAAATCATTTTCAAATAATCTGTCCTTGAAGACAATGAAAAGTGAATAATAAAATGTGATGCAGGTGTTTGTTCTAAACTTAATAGTTTAATGTGTTGATTTCATTTCTTGCTATAGTTTATTTTTTTATTATATAATTAATCGTTGTTGACGGATTGTATTGATTGAATTATTGTTAGGACGTTTCAAAATCATAAATAATTATTGTTTACAATCTTATTACAAAACCATTAATTATATTTCAAAGGAGTGTGCATTTTCCCTGAACCCAACTATTTTGTTCAAATTATAAATTATCAATGTTTCATATTTTGAGCAGTCATTTAAAGTTAATTAAAAAAATTGTATTGATGACAATCTCATTCAAAAGTTCAATTATGACTGAAGATTTATATTTTGAAAATGACTAATAATGTATAATAAAACATTCAATGATAAAAAAAAATTATACTTATTTTAAAGTTAAGAGTGACTCAAAAGTTAATTAGATCTGTCGATAATAATGTTACATTAAAATAAGAAATCTAAGGCGTGATTTTTTGTTTTATGTTGTACATTTTAAAATTCCTTGGTTTGAAAATAAATTATTTTATTAAGGACAACAAAATTTGTAATTGTCATACTACCAAATCAAATTATCAATAATTTTATCATTATTAATAGAGATTCAAAATGAGTTCTCACCACATATTTGAATTAGTTTTTTTTTTTTAAATATGAGTTAAATTGAACATGTATTCATTAATCCAAAGGTTAAATGGGTTTGAGTTAAGTTAAAAATGAGTTGACTATTAATCCATCAACAATAATACTTTATTTTTATTTTTACCATTTTTTTAAAATTTTTGTTATAATTATTTATTACATCTAATTGTATAACTTTACAATTTGATTTTTTAACTATCAAAATGTTATTTCATAATGTTTGAATACTTTAAATGTTTAAATTATTTGTTTAATCTATAGTTGTCATACTTTAATTTTCAATTTCTATCCTTATAATACTATTTAAAGAATTATATAAACACTTTGATTTTGTACAATTATAAAAAAAATCAAATTAATCTAATTTTATTCTTATTCACCAAAAAAGTGAATCGGATTGAACTTTCAAAATCCATGATGAATCAATCCATATGAGTCATATTAACTCACTTTGATACGATCCTAATCATTAATAATATGGTCTAATAAGAAAATATAACCTTCATATACACTTATTTATTATAAACAATTTATTTTTGTATACGTAAATGTTTTATTGAGTCTATTACAACCTCAACCAAATTTCTTCCTCCTCAATTTTTCTGAAATTAAAACTCACGTTATTCATTTTGAAGTCACCAAAATATTAAAATCTATTGAGCAATACAGAGTCAAGTAAAAAACGCATTTTAGTATGAACAAGTACTTTGCAGCAACAAAATGATATGTTACTTATTACTCCAAAATATTTTAGTATTATTGCCTACATTATACATTATTTATTATTATTGAAAATTTTGTCTAATTTGTATTATTTTTTTTTACAATCACAGAAAGGTTTTTTGAACACTCATACAATGATTTTGTTAATGTATTCCAACCTTCACTCATTGCATTAGGACAAATGATTTCAGAAACAAAAATTCGATGGTAATTCATACTCCAACATATAATGTTTCATTTATTTTTTATTATTAATGAATTTTATTATTATTATAATTAGTAGTATTATTCAAATACAAAATTAATATATAATGTTATAATGTTTTTGATATTTTTTTATGATATACAAAATTTTATTTGATTCTACTTTTAAAATTGCAAGTTATAATTTTTCATATTATCATATTTATTATTATTATTATTATCAAATACAAATTAGATACATTATGTTATAATGTTTTTGATATTTTTTATGATATACAAAATGTTATTTGACTCTACTTTTAAATTGCAAGTCATATATAATTTTTCATATTATCATGAAAAATTTTGTTAAACTTAAAAAATAATAATAATTCGTTCAAATACATTTTTTTTGTCTATTTTTTTATATACGCATCACTTGATTAAAAGTGAAGTAAAAGGGTAAATATAATATCGATAAAAAAAATTAAGTAATACTATTTTAAACAACAATAAATGATGGAGAAGTAGAAGTAAAAATATTTGAAAAATTCCATAATTAAGGAGAGTGTAGAGAGAATTAAACTTAAAACAGATTAGCATAAGTAACTAATGAATTGCTAATTTTTCTTTACGATTTTGTTCACTTAAATGGATTTGGGAAAGAATGATTGAATAGATTTGAGAGAATTTAAAGGTAAATTTTTTGTTGTTTATTTGAATAGATTTGGAGGTGAAAGTGGATTTGGAAGTAAAATTTGTGATAATTAGTATAGGTTTTGATTGATGTGACAGGTTAAAAGAATTTACTTTCAATTTTACTCTAACTTACCTCCAAATCCACTCAAATAAATAACAAAAAATTTATCTTCAAATTCATTCAATCACTCTCCTCCAAATTGATTCAAGTGAACAAAGTGTACATGTTAATTGTTTCACATCCAATTTATTTCTAAAAGGAATTTTGTGTAAGATGATAAATATGAATAATGATTTCCCCCAATGAATTGACACGCAATAAAACAAATCCCCCAATGAATTGACACGCAATAAAACAAATCATAACACTATTAACTTGAATATGTAAGTTAGGCCAAAACGCATATGTAATTGGTACTCTTGTGGAAAATGGTTCATTATTCTCATTTCAATGTAAAGTTTTCAATGCCAACTTTTGGTTTTGCATGATTGAGAAACTTTTCTTAGTGAAATTTAATCATTTCATACAAAGAAAGTGTTGTTATTTTTTTATTATTTTAAACAATCATGCATATAAAAAGGGCACTAATGTATGAATCCTCCTTTTTCAACCACAAATTACCTCAATCAATCTAGAATCATAAAAATTCACTTTGAGCAATCGCATCCAATCAAAAAAGTTACATGTGGAAGTAAATGTAACTATCTCTATCTCTCACTTCTTTCTTGTTACATCTTTCTATTGTCTCATTCAGATATGTATAAAATATTTTCCAAAGAGAAAAGTCATGTTACATATATGCAGGAAAAAAAATTGATGATTGTAACCACTTGAGAAAAACTATGATGAATCTTAAACACAGTTAATGATTTATGTTTCTACAGAGCAACCTAAGCATGCATCCTTGAAATCTAACGAGCAAGATTGGAGGTACTCCATCCGGAGGAATCTGCAAAGGATGCTGCTGCACTAGCACTTGATTCCTCCGATGAATTTACTTGCCTCCTCGTTCTGGCGTTCCTCATATCATTCACAAATCCTGGTCGTGAAACTTGAAACTCCTCCATCTCAATGTTTTTGCTCAACATGTCTACAACCTCTGACATTCGTGGCCTCACCCTGGCCGTTTCTTGCACGCAACAAAGTCCCACCATTAGGAACCGTTTAGCTTCTTCCATGTGATAGTTCATCTTCAGCATTGGATCCACCATTCTCAAAAGATCTTTTTCCTCGTACGCTGCCCAGGACTGTCAACATGTTCACACAATCACAATTAACATGGTATCATTTAACATGGATGTCCAAACAATAAAACATTTCTGTTCACTTGTCCAATTTTTTTACCTTCTCAACTATAAAACGATCCGCACCTTCATGATCATCTACTGCTCTTTGGCCACTCACAATTTCTAGAAGCAGTACTCCAAAACTATAAACATCTGATTTTCGTGTCAGGTGGCCAGAACTGGCATATTCAGGAGCAAGATAACCTCTATAACGTTTTAAAAAAGATTAAAGAAACCCATCAGTAATTCAGTAAAAAGAATCCAAATTTGTTTCATTCAATCAAAAGGGGTTCTGGTTTCACTCACAATGTGCCTGCAACTTGTGTACTGATGTGGGATTTTTCATCTCTTAACAGCTTGGCCAGGCCAAAATCTGAGACTTTTGGTGTGAAATTTCCATCAAGAAGAACATTGCTGGATTTGATATCTCTGTGCACAATATGGGGTTGAAGCTCCTCATGAAGAAAGGCAAGCACTCTGGCCACACCAACTGATACATCTCTCCGAGCCTCCCAGCTGAATGTCATTCTTTTTTGCTCAGAACCTGTCAATAGTAACAGAGAATCAAAAGACAATACATGCATGAAATATAATTCTACACTTTGACTAATTAACTTAAAAAATTAGAAAATAATAATCTGAAGATCACCTAAGAAAGTGTGACGAAGGCTATTGTTTTCCATATAATCGTAGACTATGTATCTGTGGGCTCCTTCAACACAACACCCTCGAAGAATAACTAGATTTTGGTGCTTCACATTTGCAAGTGTATTCAATTCTGCCACAAAACCCATCTCTCCTTTTACGGAATCCAGCTCAATCGAAAGCACTTTAACAGCCACCAAACTTCCATCCCGAAGCTGCCCCTTTACAATTTACACAGCCACTTCAAATTCAATTCTCGATTCATTAACAGAACTAACACACAGCATCAAATTGTAGATTTCTTCAATACCCACATGAAAAAAGAAAGAAAAAATGACGATATGTGTGTATAACCTTATAGACAGAGCCAAAGCCTCCTTCTCCAATCTTTTCCGAGGGATGAAAACCCCGCGTGGCAGAATTCAATTCTCTGTAAGTGAATATGCGAAAGTTTCCATCGTCATCTTCACCTGGCTCTTCTGTTGGGTAATTATTATAGATCCAATGCAGAATTCTATGACGTTAAGATAAAATGTGATGAAAAAGCAAATGATGACAGAAGGAGGAAAAGACATTAACATGTTTATATATACCGTGCTTAGTTTCTTGATCTTTGACCGATGCTGAGAAACAAGTACAAAAAGAACAACAGGGAATCTTCATGCCTGGAGACACGTGTAAAATTCCTAGGATGATTGATTTGGGTGTTTGTTTCGCTAAGGTTTGTTTGGAGATGGCAATGGTGTGAAGAAAGCCAAGGAGAGCATGGGGAGGTTGTAATGAAGAGGAGGCGGCACACAAAGGTAAGTCTTTGACCCATTGACTTAAACTTCATATATATATATATATATTTTCTCTATTTGTGATAGATTCTCTTGTTTACCATGTTGCCATCTCATTTCACTCCCGAGTTTCTTAGATTTTTCTTCTGGATTTTCTGGATTATGGATGAAAATGATACTAGTTCCAAGTTTGTCATTTTTTTTAAAAGGTGAAGTTTGACTATGTTTTATTTTTTAATTGAAAGTTCAAATTGATCACTTTTTAAATCAATATATTTTTAGAGTTCGACTTGATTTAAAAGTTTGTTTAAGAACCTGTTTTAGGAAAAAGTTATGCAAGTAAAAAATAATTGTTTTCAATGAAAATTCCTGAAAATTTTCAATATTTTTTCATTAATATATTAGTTGTTATCGTTTGCTCTCTTTTGCAACCTTGTTTTTTTAATGGTGAATTAAGAAAAAAGTAGTAAGGAAACTATTTGAATTATAATAAAGAAAGAAAATCTAATCAGCTATATATAAAAATTTGAAGATCTAATCAGCTATAACTTTTAAAACAATTGAATTTAATTATTCTGAGAACATAATCTATTATATAACTTTTTTCATTTTTTTTTATTCTATATGGAAAGTTTTCGGTACGCTTTTTTGTTTAAAAAAAATACCTTTTTAAGCTTGACGTGTTTCTCTTCCTCTTTTCTCGCGCCTTTTCCACGTTCTTTTTGCCGTTCCACTTCTTTCCTAAAATTTCTTTCCACAAATTGTAGCCAAATCCTAATAATTTTTTAAAGAAGTTGAATATTATCCACAACGAACCTTCATATAGAATATTTTCATTACACCTTAAAATTAAGAAATCTCTAATTTGTTTTGAAAAGTAAAATTTGAAAAATGTATATACTTTTATTAGGAGGACAACAATAACAAATCATTCTTAAATGTCGGATTAATACGAAAAATCTTATCAACTATAAAGTTATTATCATGTTCTATTAATTTTAGAGTTATCATTTTAAACTTTAGTTTAATCTCTAATTATCCGTCCAAAATACTTTATGTAACAAAAAAAAAAGTTTCCAGACTCCAATAAAAATAATAATAAATAATGATAGCACTCTTTAACAAATAAAGACAAAATTGAAAGATTATTGTGAGATAAGAAAGGCATGTTAGGTGAAGAAAGTTGTACATTCGAAAAATGTCATCTTCAAGGTATTTTCTTTTGGGTGACAGAGTCTTCATTTGATACTTTTCTTTGTGTTTCAAACTAGAACTAATGCATATTGGTGCAACTAACCCCTTTGACCAATTTCAAAGATTCTGAGAAGCATGTGTCAAGGTTATCTTAGCTTATATTGGATTTTATTTTTAGCGTCACATTTCATCCCTGTCATCTATTAACATGGTTCTAATGTCATGTGTGACATAACACCAGAATTTAAAATTCATAAAATAGAATACATTATTTATTTTTTATGTAATTTCTATATTTGATGTATTATTGTTATAATAAGCAATCATTTCCATTTTTATGTATTATTATTATTATTATAATAAGTTGAGATATAGTTGTTATTTAGGTTCATGATTCATAGGTTAACTCTGAATCTCTTTAAAAGTGGATTTTGTTTTGTTTTTGTCCATTTAATTGGAGGTTTTTTAAAGTTTTAGTTCTAAAAGCCTTATGTGAAAGGATTGGGATATAATTTGGGTGGAGTTAGCCTCAAATACTAACCTCATTTTTTTATTTTTTATTTCATAATTCTTTTAAGTGAAATATAAACTAAATGAAAAGTATATATTAATATAATATGTGAAGTTTAATAACAATATTTTAAGTTAATAATCAATCAGAAAATAAATAATATGGACGTTTAGTATAATTAATATGAATATTTCATTATATCATGATTAACGTTGGGATAAATTCCCAAGACGAAAAAAATTATAAAATCTAGTCAAAATGTCAAAATATCAAAATATTAGATTAATTTTAATAAAATTCACACTAATTATTTTATAATTATTAAATATATATTTATTATATATTATTAAAACTAAATAATTAATTAATAAAATTTAAATATAAATTTAAATCATATATTAAAAAAAATAAACATGTAACAAAGAAATCCATAAACTTATTATTAAATTTATTACTTTAAATTGAGATATTTTGTTTATTTTGATTCATATTTAAATTAATTTTTGTACAACAAAATTAAAAGATTAACTTAATTATATACTTCTAAAACATATTTAACTAATCAAAAGAAATTAAATATAATTTTTCAATCAATGATTTCAACGTCTTATATTATTGTATAATTTTTTTTATATAAACTAAGTTTATTGAAACTTAAAATGTTTATATATAATTATTTAACAAATTAAAAACATTTAAATTTGTGATCCATTAAGAATTAATTTTCTTCTTTTTCTTATATTCAAAATTAATATTATTTTTAAAAAGAAACTCATATGTTAGATCTAAACTATAGAATTTTTGTAAATATTTTGGTTTCAGATGTTTTTTTTAATAGGATTAAACCATATGAAAGATGCTAAACATGTTAGTTTTAATATCTTTTTTCTTATTATAATCTAATATAACTTTATCTTCTTTAGTCTAAATGAGAGATGAGTGTTTGTAAAAATATTTTAATGCTTAAGTTAAAATTGTGTTATGTATTAAATGTAACAATAAATGGAATTTTAATCTCTGTACCTCACTTTTATACCTATTTTTGGAATTTTGTCCAAATGAGTCTATCTAGATAGACTAAAGTCAGTAGTGATTATTTAAAGTATCTTAAATATTAGTCATGTTATTATTAATTTAAATGGACAAAAAGAAAATAATATAAATATCCCATAAATTAAATTTTTTGTCTCAAGTCATGTTATTACTTTAAATTTTATGTATTATTTTTCAAGAGTGATATTTTATTTTTTTCAATTTGACGTCTGAAACTAAAAATATATTTAACTCTAAATTATTTTAATATAAATATAATCTTCAGTAGAATTTAATTTCGATTATCCCATATATATATATATATATATATATATATATATATATATATA